GTGTCTCTTTATCATATTTTTAAGTTTTTAACCTCTAGTTTCACGGTATATTGCTAGTTTTTTTATTTCTAATTTTTTTAGAGTAAATTTTATAGTTTTAGGATTAGTTTTGTAAAGCGCCTCGAACAAGTAGTGGATGTGTGCACTGTATAAATGAACTATCGTCGTGATTATTATTCACTTGGGGCCTGTTGTGTGGTCTAAAGTTAAAGTTATACTGTATTTCAGCTGTTTCAGAGGAATCACTTTAGTATAACGCTCAAATTTTAGCATTTTTCTTAAGGTATCGAGATTACGCTTTGTAATTAGGACCCGTAGTGTGGTCTGGCAAAAGTAAAGATGTACTGTATCCTAGCTTTTTTAGAGGACATTTTATATTAAGCAATCTCACCTTCGCCGAGAGTCTGGTACTACCATTCGTGTTCTAGTAATAGATAGCCTCGCACATGGTTGAATATGATGTAACGTTGAATTTGAAAAACAAGCTCGGACAATTTTAACTAAATATGCTTTGTATAATGTTAAGGTATTTAGTTGTAAAGTGGCCAGTTGTTAGTGTTATTTATAGTTAAAGATAATTGTTAATCTTCTTTACTATAATTTACTCTGGAAGTCCCAAGTTTTAAAGAAGAATTCTCATGATCGACGAGAAGACGTTTCTTTTTTTCTTGATTCGAAAAATTCAGTGTTATTTCCCGTTTTTAGCAAAAAATTATCCTCCAGTTTAGATTTTCTCAAATTGCCATTGTCGTTATCATATTGTTTTTTAGTGAATTATTACTGTGAGGAGAATTTGAATAATGATCAGACTTGGGATTTGGTGAGTTCATTTTAGTGTCTCCGTTGATCGCTTATTTTACTTTTTGTCTTTTAATGACAATTTAATGTAGTTTCTTATGTACTCAGTATGTACCCCTTTATCAGAGAAATATACACTGTGGTGCATTATGTTTGAAAAATTTTCAATGTCTGTCTCCCTGTGCAAAGGATTCACAACAAGAGAGATGCGGAGAGAACATGAAAATGTTCCAATCCAATGGACCGCGGTTTATGTCTTCCCTAATAAGCCTATGTGCGCCCCCAGTTACTATTTCAAACCCCTCGATCGTGATCGTTTTCTTTTGGTGCTCAGATTATTTGACAAATGACATACAGTGCTGTATTTCGATCCAGGTTATGAATTTGTACGATAAGGGAGGAGCTATATAAGTTCCCTAACACCAAAAACTAAACCCCCATCCAGACATTCTGAACATCGTGTCCAGTTCTACTCGTTCAATGTTTCACGGGGTAAAGCAGCCAGATGTCGAGTAACCGAGTCGAGTAGCTCGTATGATTTACCAAGCGCATGCGCACCAGCTTAATCTCGTAAAATGTTTGGAATAATATTTCCTCTGAGCAATCGGTCAGAGCAGAGATTTTTATATACAGGCAGAAGAAATATCTCGTTCTCGATTGTTCAATTTCGAATGCATGAGTATCTGTACTCTAGAAATTTAAGCTTACGAAGATAAACAAGATATGTTTATTTAGGAAAGCCTGGTTTGTTTGTAACAGTTATCGTATCGGATCAATGTCTGAGCACCTACCCCACCCCTAGCCCAACAACAGTCAGCTGATGACAAGTTGAGGTTTATGTGGGCTAAGAGAGGGGTACTGGGTACTGATACTGTAATAGATCCTTGTATTAAATATAACCAATTTTAAGAGAACAGAAAATTTTTTTCCAAACCGTTGAGGTGTTCGGAGCTATGCGTGCCTAGAATGTGAAAGAAACTTTAAGAAAAGATTTTGTTGAAAACACAAGACAATAATCACCTGAATTGCTCGTACATTTCGTGATATTCACACGTGATGTTTTGATAAGTTTTGAAATTGCACTTTCCTACGGCTCGTGCAAGAATTCAAACTTTTAAAACATCACGTACACCTCTAAATCACGCCTCTCGGTTAGCTCAATGGATAGAACGCTGGACTGTTGTGCGGGAGGTCGAGGGTTCGATCCCCGGCCGGACCAACACTCAGGGTCTTAAAATAATTGAGAAAAATATGTTACCTTTCGATAAGAAATGGTTAGATATTCTTGTCTTCTTGGATAGGGACGAATAAATGGAGGACCCGTCTCCTGCAGGGTTAGGGGCAGGAGACGTTAATTTCCCACGCACGAGATTATTGTGTGATGGATGTCCTCCCCTGGTGTGGGATAGGTGGGCATGGGATGGGTGGGTAACAGGACCCCCTTGGATACCAGCGTTTACTACACTGAAGGGGCTATCCTGTATAAATATAGATGTCTACTCTACCCTACTCAAGTTTTGAGATTCCAAGGAGAAACCGAACCTTTCAAAGATTCTTTTACTTCCAACTCTGAATTCGACTGCAGACGCCGCCATTTTGAAAAACAACTTTGTGACCATGCCGAACACATGATATCCCAGTTAGGCCAAATAGCAGACTCAAACGCGCACTCCTCAAACAGCCTTTTGGTAATTGGCTGCTCTGTTTTAACGGAGCTTGAGCCTCGGTTCGAAATGATAGGGTTCGATTGCAGCCATATTCTAAGTCTTTTATCTTCAGGGTAGCGGCCAAGTTACTAAACAACAATTAGGTTTCAAGTGCATTCGAGGAAAATTGTCGCAAAGTCACGCTCTTCCCTGGAATATCATGACGCGGTCTTGTCTGAATTTCAAATATGCTCTTTTAGGACGGGAAAAGAAATCATGTTTTCTGGAGCACACTTAATTTCCATCTAAAAACATAGAAGGGAACCACAATTTCTTTTGTATGGAAATTTTCTGAACATAATGGCAACTCGGTAGCGTTCGTGGGGGAGGAATGATTGCGTGACGATGCCTAAGAACGTCTGCGCAGGAGGCTAGAACTCAGGCGGACTCTCCAAACTTTAACTGTAAGCAGTCCATGCCCAAGTGATCATATCACCTTTTTATAACAAACAGAGTTTGGTTTTCCACTGTAATGTTTGTCTTTTTTTAACTCCTCAGCTTTTTAATTTTTAACTTTGATTAAGTCAGAGCTTAACCCCATCACTCACAGGAGTGATTTACAGATAACTTCTCCCTACAAATTTATTAAATTTTCCAACAAACGAGTATCCAGAATATATAAATTCATCAACTGAATGATGTTATCTTGATTTAAGATTCTATTCCCAAAATTAAATTCCATGACATAATTAACAATTTTACACCAATTTTTTGGTGGTAGGCCAATATTGCAAACACACGAAACATAATTTGGAATTATTTTACAGTGTTCAATAAGTTTAAGTCTTACAAAATATAACCTTTACAAAAATATTGATATGTAGCTCAGTGCTATCTACAAAATCTTGATTGAAGGTAACCGTGTAGTGAAGACAGAATCCCTGAATAAATAAAAAATGTACCAAACGGCTAGAAAAATCAAATGGAAAAGCCGGGAGGCTTTAAATAACCTAAACATTCGTTATGTAACAGGGGAGTGTAGAGAGTTCACTGATAGCCACGGCTGTGACTGTAAGCGAGCAGAGATTGGAGATGTCACAATTTATCAAAATAAATAAGACTTAAAATATCTATAATTGTTGAACAGTCGTTATTTGTTTTACGTCTTTTAAGGGGGTGAAGGGAACAGCAAAGCAAACGCGAGGTGCGCGCGAAGGGTGGGGCAAGCACGAGAGAATAAGCGCTCCTCGCCTCGCGTGGGCCTCTATGCAAACCACTTTACTTTCATTACACCAAAATATACTGTAAAGAGAAAGATAAATTTTTGCAATCGCCGTTGATATCTCAAGTACGATCATTATTCAGCGTTATCCGGATAAAAGCTTCTTTCTGTTTGACCGAAAAGCAGGCCGTATTTTCCTCGCGTTCCAATTCACGTCCATGAAATAAGTTTCGTTTGTCACGTAATGATAGAGACACAAAGCGCAGTGAGTCACACAACACAAGTCACGGAAGACACCAAAGATGCAAGTAACGAATAAAAACACTGCCCTTACTTCAGTTGGAGTTACACCTTTGCCAGCAAGATCGTAAATCTTGGTTAGAATTCTACTATCAACGCAGTGGTTATGGTGGCGAAGACTCCGGGAACTCTGATTTTTAATTTGTTTAAATTTTTTTTCCGCTCCATGGAACTTCAGATACGTTCGTTTTTTCGTGGTGGTTAGACTTCTGACGAGCTTTTTTTTCCTTTCAAGCACCACCCCGTGAGTCCCTGAATTGAAATATAACACAAACGAGATCTAGTTAAGGGGGCATTTATTATCCAACTGTGCTTCGTAGAGTACAAATAACGCCCAAAACGAGTACCAATAGCTCGCGGCCTTTGTACTTCAGAGAACCAGTTAGACAGGTTTTCTCGCATCTCGCGAGCGACAAATTGGATTGAAGTTTACAAAAAAAAAATGGCAGGCAATTTAAAGTACTTTTCTGACGAAGAAGAGTCGGAATGGCTGGCGAATATTGATCCAATTTAATTAGATAAATCTAACGAAGAAAAGCAGTTAGACGACGATGAAAATTATTGAAGAAAATACCGCGCCCCGTCCCGCTTCGCATGCTTCTGTCACGCCCTCCCAGTAAATAAATATCCGCGAAATTCGTCTGTACTGAAATAACAATTAGGCGTGTTGGACAATAAATCTTTTGTTAACCGTTTTGTTGTGTAGTATCGCTGAGTATTTTTACTCATTATTTGTATTTTGATGAGCCCGACGGCACAACTCGTAAAATACTCAACGATGCTACACAACAAATCGTTTAATAAGATACATTTATTCAAAAGTGGGCTCTAGGATGGGCTCTTTCTGAGAGAGTGTTTGCTTAGGATTCTAAACAGAATGAATGTCCTTGTTGCTTTTGGTACCCCTCAACTTTTTGCCAAACTACCGCTGAGCCCTCACTCTCCCTCTACTAACTCAAGCGTAGATGTCCACTTGACAATCACAAGAGAATCACATGTCTACAATGTAAACAAAAGAATCACTCTGATAGATGATGTAAAAGAAGGATGAAAATTTAGCGGTAAGACACTTAATTGTATAATTCTTTCGCATCGACGAATGCGTAACCCTTCAGTAAGGAATTCTTGAATACATGTTAAAGTTACAACTTAAACAGATGAGAAAACTGTTGAAGGGGTTCAACAAGTACGTAGAAATCTGAGAGCCTAATAATTTTTGCTCTGGCATCGAAGCTCTTGGTGAAGTCGTTTGCGGTATTTAGAAAGTGATTTACTTGCAGACCTACTCAATCAACATATTACTGCTATTCAGAGTCTGGCCAGACGGGCCCTGTTTGACTAGAATACGTGTTAAGTCGATCAGGCAATTTCTCAGGGACTAGTTACAGCGGGTAGATTATCGTCTGCATGATAACTTCAGCAGAGATGTTTTTGAGACGCGGGCGGCAACCCAATGAACTACAAAACTAATTCTGGCGCACTTTGACGTCAATGGATCGGCTGTAAAATCGTCGTTCTACCACTTTAAACCAAATTGTGCCGATGAAAAAGGTGTAGTGTGCTCCAAGAAGGTGAACTTTTAACTTCCGCCTTCCGTTCGCGTTTCTGTTACAAATCATCATGGCGCTTAAGCTCTCTTTTGAAATCACTTATATCCTCATGCCGCTCAAGCAAAGGAAAAGTAACCTAGTCTTAGATCAAAGATGCATTATAAATTTTCTCTCGGAAGAGAATTAAGATATGAATTGCCTTCATCCTCTAAAGAAAAGGAACTGACAACCGACTATATATATTGTGACTGCTTGGTGTTTTATTTCTTCTGTAATGTACAAACTCATTGGGCTCAGCCTTTCTTCGCTGGGCAAATTTCTTCCTAGTTTCCTGTAAATAGATTGAGTGAATGCATCTTGAAAAGAAGCTTCTTCATAAAGTTGATTCGAAGAACCCGCATGGCGTTAATGGCGCTTAACTTTCAAACTAGTACGATGTTTTTGTTTCGAACTTGCAGGTTTGCGTTTTAGTAAATCTCATTTGCAGATGAGCGCTAGAGGAGGGCTTAAATATTAATGGATTGTATAACTTTATATCGATCGATAACAATGTTAGGTTAGGAGATATATTCGGATAACAGACCTTTTTAGCTTCATATGGAAAATCGGGAAGGGGCATATGCGATTTGCCGTTGATAATCGTGTTCAAGCACCATGTGGTTTTTAAGTTCAGGAATGTATGGAAAATGATTTGATTGGCCATTACCTGCAAATGACCGCGTCACCAAGATTTGATTGTTAAAAAACTTTCGCGGGTTTAGAACCCTCTCTATGTGCCTAGTTTTCACTAGCAACGTAAGCAAAAGCGCAAGCACAAAAACTCTTGTTTTTCTCCCATTTCCAATTTTCATCGTGATAGCAATCCCAGCTCTAAAAGGGTTGATCCGCAGAGAGGTCTGTTTGTTTTAGCTTAAATATCTGTCAACACACAACTTTAATTAGGGGCCGATCATTTAACTTTTGAGGGGGGGTGGGTGATTTCTAGTCATCAAGAAATTTTTTTTCTAGCAATCTGCTGTGCAGGATATTTTTTTCCGTTCTAAATGCCCTTTTTCTTCTGTTACAGCAGACCACAGACCTCGAAAACACAGACCTTGAAAAATATTTTATCGACATTTCGAAGAGAACCGTGGTTGTGAAGCAGTTTTTTTTTTTTTTTTCTTTTTTTCGATAAGGGATTTGGTCTAAACAAGCATTACGTGCGACCGGAAGTCGACAAAGATTAATTAAAAGATTTGCTTCGTGTTAAAGCCAGCGCTCTGCAAACAAATAAATTTTGGTAAAAGTCGCTCTCGAGCTCAGTTTCTTCAATAAAGCTTACTTCGATAATTTACGCGCAAACGTCCAACTTTGAGCGCGGTATAAACTCATATTGGCTCCTTAATAGACATTCCCTGGTTTCAGGTCGTGGTTTACCAAGACATTCCTTGAAGGCAAAAATTTAAGTCCCTCGTCAGCTCAGCGATAGCAAATTGCTATCGCCCTGGGAAAAACCACTACTGTATAAAATGTTGAAAGGCTTCGCCTGCTTGTGTGTTATCGAGGCAATGCAAAAATACGAGGATATCTGAAACCTGAACGTCAATACCGAATGGCAGGAAATGAAAACACTCGTAGGCCACCATTACGCATTACAGCGATCTGTTTAGGTCAAACAGTAACCTTTAGATGCCGCAGATTTTGTAACATCTTCGTCTCCTTTGCTACGATCATCAGATTTGAGTCTCCGCCGCCAAACAAAAAAACAAAATCGCTTCACAACCATGGTTCTCTTTGAAAAGTCGTAAACAAATTTTCGAGGTCTGCGTTTTGGAGAAACCCCCTGGGTTTTCTCCAAAACGCAGACCTCAACAAACAGCAAACTTTACTGGATGCCGCGTATTTTGTAACATCTTCGTCTCACAAGTAACGCTTTACAACCACGGTTCTCTCCGAGATGTATAAAAACAGGGTTTTTGATTTCGGTCTGCGTTTTTGGGTCTTCGTTTTCGAGAAACCCCCTAGGTTTTCTCGAAAACGCAGACCTCGACAAACCGCAAACTTTACTAGATGCCGCATATTTTGTAACACCTTCGTCTCATAAGCATTTTCGAGGCCTCGACATTTGGTGATGTTAAAAAAAGGATTATTTTTACGGGGGAACATCAGCCCATCGAAAATTAGGTACAGCGAGAAAGTAAGCTGTGTTGAGAGCTTGAGGATCGAGAAAAGGTATCTTGAAAGCCATTTTCGGTTCAAAAGAAGCAGGGCTCAAGAACCAGTGCACATATGATTGATTGGTAGTCTGATTTGGTTACTAGCACATATGGTTAATAGTTTTGAGAAGCAGATGATCCAAACGCGGAAAAATTCGTCACGCAATGCCTCGCGTGACTAATGCGTTATGTCAATAAAATTGTGTTGAAGACATGTTTCTTAAGCCCGAGAATGAATATAGCAAAGAAGGGAGAAGAATATGTTTAAAGAGTCTAGATGACGTCTGATTATAAAGCTTTTCAGTCAAACTAAGTGAAGCGTACCCCTCAAGATTACATTAATGAATTGATCAATTGGATATTGAAACCGCCAGTCGTTTCAAGAATGCAATAATGAATTGATTATTTGATTATTGAACCGCTAGCCGTTTCACGAATGCAATAATGGGTTGATTATTTGAATATTGAACCCGATAGCTATGGCATAGACTAAAACCAGGACTGGACTCTGGACTGGACTCTGGACTCTGGACTCTGGACTCTGGACTCTGGACTCTGGACCCTGGACCCTGGACTCTGGACTCTAATTTTACTTTTACTGTAATAAGTATCGACAAAATTACGAACAACTATGCGCATCACTATGCGATTAATTGAGTCAATTAAACTACAAAATAAACTACTTAATACATTACAGGAACTTATTTTATACTAGACCTTGTCAGTACATGTCACGTTATTAGTTTGGGTGTGAACAACAAAACACCCGCAAGTATTTTCGCACAGGATATGATAAAATTCTGTGCTAGAAAGTGGTTTTTGAAGGTGTTTTTGGGGCTCACGGTTTTAACCTTCAATTCAAAACCTTGTAGAAAACTACTTTTTGCGAAAGCGAAACGAGCTGGATATTTCGCAAAATGTAGTTTTCTACAAGGTTTTGAATTGAAGGTTAAAACCGTGAGCCTCAAAAACACCTTCAAAAGCCACTTCCTAGCACAGAATTTTATCATATCCTGTGCGAAAATACTTGCGGGTGTTTTGTTGATCACACCCAAACCAATAACGTGACATGTACTGACAAGGTCTAGTATAAAATAAGTTCCTGTAATGTATCAAGTAGTTTATTTTGTAGTTTATTTTGTAGTTTAATTGACTCAATTAATCGCATAGTGATGCGCATAGTTGTTCGTAATTTTGTCGATACTTATTACAGTAAAAGTAAAATTAGAGTCCAAAGTCCAGGGTCCAGAGTCCAGAGTCCAGGGTCCAGAGTCCATAGTCCAGGGTCCAGAGTCCAATCCAGTCCAGAGTCCAGTCCAGGTTTTAGTCTATGCCGATAGCTATGGGGCGCCAAATGTATTTTTACTATTTAGAGTGGTTATTTGTATATAACCAAAACAAGTATGGTTATTTGTAAATAACCACATTGCAGTTTGGTTATTTATAACGAGACATCGGTAAATAACCAATTTTCAGTTTTGGTTATTTAGCAAATAATCACTTTGCAATTTTGGTTATTTAGTAAATAACAACATTCATGTTTTGGTTATTTGCTAAATAACCAGTGTCTCGTTTTGGTTATTTATAAATAACCCAACAGCAATGTGGTTATTTAGATATAACCATACTTGTTTTGGTTATATACAAATAACCACTCTAAATGATAAAAATACATTTTGCGCCCCATAAGATAGCCGTATCCTTTTTGAAAGGGTGCGGCTCATTGTTCAAATTAGAAGTCTATTTCTGAAGTCCGATAAGATTGTTCTATTTGACGAGGAATCCTGAAAATGAACAAACTGCACTGTAAAAACACTGCGAAAACAGTCGATCGCAAATATTACAGTCAAACTAAGTGAAGCGTACCCCTCACGTTACACTAATGATTTGATTATTTGAATATTGAACCCGCTAATCGTTTCATGAGGGCATAGGGTAAAATATGGACTAGACTGAACTATTTTTTGGAGGTTTTTTCTTTTTTGGACGATGTTTTGGACGATTTTATAAGGGGGAAGGCACACCTTTAGTACTCAGGGAGGGGTGGGGTGCAGTCGACAAGTACTGAGGGAGGGGTGNCTATTTAAGCAATAGCGAAAATCAGACCTGAAAAAAATCAGGCCTGTACGGGATTCGAACCACTGACCTCTGCGATACTAGTGCAGCGCTCTACCAATTGAGCTAACAAGCCAACTGGGAGCAGGCCGTTAAGTTGATTCGTAATAAACCCGTGAAAGTGATAAATCAGATACAATGAAATATATGAAGTTCATATATTTTGAACTGCGGTATTAGATACGTATGATGCACGATCCTCGCAGTAGATAGCGCTATTTAAGCAATAGCGAAAATCAGACCTGAAAAAAATCAGGCCTGTACGGGATTCGAACCACTGACCTCTGCGATACTAGTGCAGCGCTCTACCAATTGAGCTAACAAGCCAACTGGGAGCAGGCCGTTAAGTTGATTCGTAATAAACCCGTGAAAGTGATAAATCAGATACAATGAAATATATGAAGTTCATATATTTTGAACTGCGGTATTAGATACGTATGATGCACGATCCTCGCAGTAGATAGCGCTATTTAAGCAATAGCGAAAATCAGACCTGAAAAAAATCAGGCCTGTACGGGATTCGAACCACTGACCTCTGCGATACTAGTGCAGCGCTCTACCAATTGGTAGAGTGACCTCTGCGATACTAGAGCAGCGCTCTATCAATTGGTAGAGCGCTGCACTAGTATCGCAGAGGTCAGTGGTTCGAATCCCGTACAGGCCTGATTTTTTTCAGGTCTGATTTTCGCTATTGCTTAAATAGCGCTATCTACTGCGAGGATCGTGCATCATACGTATCTAATACCGCAGTTCAAAATATATGAACTTCATATATTTCATTGTATCTGATTTATCACTTTCACGGGTTTATTACGAATCAACTTAACGGCCTGCTCCCAGTTGGCTTGTTAGCTCAATTGGTAGAGCGCTGCACTAGTATCGCAGAGGTCAGTGGTTCGAGTCCCGTACAGGCCTGATTTTTTTCAGGTCTGATTTTCGCTATTGCTTAAATAGCGCTATCTACTGCGAGGATCGTGCATCATACGTATCTAATACCGCAGTTCAAAATATATGAACTTCATATATTTCATTGTATCTGATTTATCACTTTCACGGGTTTATTACGAATCAACTTAACGGCCTGCTCCCAGTTGGCTTGTTAGCTCAATTGGTAGAGCGCTGCACTAGTATCGCAGAGGTCAGTGGTTCGAATCCCGTACAGGCCTGATTTTTTTCAGGTCTGATTTTCGCTATTGCTTAAATAGCGCTATCTACTGCGAGGATCGTGCATCATACGTATCTAATACCGCAGTTCAAAATATATGAACTTCATATATTTCATTGTATCTGATTTATCACTTTCACGGGTTTATTACGAATCAACTTAACGGCCTGCTCCCAGTTGGCTTGTTAGCTCAATTGGTAGAGCGCTGCACTAGTATCGCAGAGGTCAGTGGTTCGAATCCCGTACAGGCCTGATTTTTTTCAGGTCTGATTTTCGCTATTGGATAAATAGCGCTATCTACTGCGAGGATCGTGCATCATACATAGATGGATTTGTCCAACGCTCAACGTTGGACGTCTGGGCGTAAATTATTGAATATTACTGAAGTAACTGAGAGTGACTTTCACCAAAATTTGTTAGTTGGCAGACCGCTGGCTCAACATGAAACTTCAAATTGATCTTTGCCGACTTCCGTTCGCGCGTAATGCTTGTTACTGACCAAGTCTCCCTCGCCGAAAAATTGCTTCACAACCACGGTTCTCTTCCAAATGTCGAAAACAGACTTTTCGAGGTCTGCTCTGCGTTTTCGAGGTCTGCGGTCTGCGTTTTCGAGGTCTGCAGTCTGCGTTTTCGAGGTCTGCGTTTTCGAGACACCCACAGTACGCTTGGGCCGCCCTGTGGCGGTATTTGATTACGAGCAAGAGGTCAGAAAGAACCGGAACTTGTAAATGACAATTGTCGCGAGAACAAAAGAAAGCAAGGCAGGACGACGGCTCCTTTGATAAATTTGTCCGAGTCAAAACAATATTATTTTGTCCTTGCAGGAAAAACATTCCGCACTGATAAAAGTTATGTGTTGACAGATTTTTATTCTAAAACAAACAGTTTTGTCCCCTGTGCGGATCGACCCTTGGAGGGCTTAGGGTTGTTTGCTATCACGATGAAAATCGAAAATGGGAGAAAAATAAGAGTTCTTGTGCTTGTCCTTACGTTGCTAGTGAAAACCAAGCACATAGAGATGTTATAAACCCGTGAAAGTTAAAAACAGTGAAATCCTGTTGTTTTGGCGACGCAGTCATTTACAGGTAATAGCCAATCAAATCATTTTCCATGCATTCCTGAAAAAAACCGCATGGTGCTTGAACACGATTATCAACGGCTAATCACATTGGGTGCGGCTGTACACAGGGCAAGTAATTCATGGCAGTCTCCATATAGACTCCCTGTTACCCAGTCTCCATATAGACTCCCTGTTACCCATTCTCCCTGTGTACCCTGTGTACCCTGTGTACCCTGTGTACCCTGTGTACCCTGTGTACCCTGTGTACCCTGTGTACCCTGTGTACCCTGTGTACCCTGTGTACCCACA